TATATATATATATATATATATATATATATATACATTTTTGTAAAGGCGTTTCAATAAAAAATGTATTTGCTTAAAAATGTTTTGGGCAGAATAAATTTTGCTAAAACCAACTATATTAACACAAACATGTGTGAAATGTGTATCTAACTGAACAGGTCTTCTTTGTAGAACAAAATTAATTTAACAATACAAAATGCATCAAATTAAAAAGGCTTCTCTGTAAAGTCAATTCCACTAATACAGATTGCATCTGTACAAGTATGGCTCTGTGCTAAGTCAATTTAACTAATATATAATGCATCTGCACAAATGCATTGATGTAAAATTAACTTCACTATTAATAAGTACTTTTTACAAACATGTTTTATGCAAAATCTATCTAATTAGGGTATTATGCGTACACTTGCATAGGCACTAGTGTAAAATCAATTTAAGTGAAACGAATTACGCTCACACAAACATGCCTCACTGTAAAATTATTTTAACTGTTATACATCCATCAAAACACGTCCATTTTATTAATAAACAATTCGCTATGACAAAATGTGTCCATTGAAACATTCCCTTTCGTCCTAAGAGGACGAAATACATCTATTTTGTAAAAAAGGACCAACTTCTCACAGAGGCGTGCTTATGCGATTGTATGTTAAAGAAATTGATTTTACGCCAAGTTATATGTGTGTAAAGGTATTGTGCATTAGTAAATTTGATAATCCAGGAAGAATTTTTTGTGTGACCGTAATCTGAAGTAGTGAGACTGATTTTACGCAAAAGCGTGCTTAATTGTACACAGTTTGCTGTAGCAAAATTAATCCATTTAGGATACACGTTTGCGTAACTCTCGTTTTCGTCAAATTGATTTTACACTAGGACAAATTTATGTAGATGCAAGCAGCGTAGCAAAATTTGTTTTACTCCAGCGACTGAGTGTGTGGATATATTGCGTACTCTTAAAATTGTTTTCAATCCGATGCACCTAGGCATATTTAATCAAAAGGTCTTTAAAGTGGAATTATCTTTATTATCAATGCGTATGGGTTTCTGTACATTATGGTTTTAGTTAAATTGACTTAACACTCGTGCTTCTGCAGCCTGAAATCGATCTTATGCAAAGGTAAGTTTCATTGGTATAAATTTTTGAGTAAAATTAGTTCAAAGCCTATGAAGCTGCATAAAATATTATGTGTTAGTAAAATTAAATTCACTTAAAAGCATGACTGTTTAGATATAATTGATTTCAAACGTTTATTTCAACAGACACGCATTAATATGAAGAAGCGAGTACACGAAGGTGTCTATTGGAAAATACTTTGTAGTGATAAAATTTTTCTGCATTAATGTGTGGCTTTGAAAATACATTATGCATCAGATTTTTACAAAACCTGTCTTTGCAAATATAATCTACATTAGTGGGTTTGAATTTGCACAAAAGCATGCTTTTAAATATATTTTATTGAACTGGAATCGGTTTTACATCAATGCATGTGTGCCTATCAAGCATAAGTCAAATTGCTTCCTCAACAAAGCATGCTTATGGAGATGTAATTTAAATTGGCAAAATTAATTCAACACAAAGCTACGCTAAAGTGGATGTTTTAATAGTGAAATTAAATTTACCTTAAAACATGCTCGTGTAAATGTGTTACTAACCAGTAAAACTAATTATGCACCAAGGCATTTTGTGTGGACGTAATTAGTATTAGTACAATTAGTCTTACATTAATGCGTAAGTATTCTGTTTTGTTTTCGTACAATTGACTTCAATCTTAAGGCACGATTGTGTGGTTAGAAGTTGTTTTGCTGAAATCGACTTAGCACTGAGTCAATTCGTGTGCAAATGATTTGTACCAGTAATTTGTACAATCGCATGTTCAGGTAAATATGTTTTTAAAAAGAAATTATTTAACACAAGTGAATGTGGGTGGTTATATAACGCACTGGCGAAGCAGTTTCCCCTCGGGGCATGTTTGCGTGAATATAATGGAGGCTTATGAAATTGATTTCTTGCGCAAACGCATGTGTGTAAATACAATTTGTATTGAAAAAAGATTTTTACGAAGGCCTGTTTTTAGGATATATCTTGTTTTTGGTGAATTGGATACTATTGTGATCCATGTGTATGGATGCATTTTGTAGTGCTGTAAAGTGTAGGATAAATAATGTGTTGCTAGCTGTTAAATAATAAATGAAATGTTCGTTTGCTAGAGTGCAACACAAAAGTTATTTCTCATCACGAGTCAACCAGCTAATCTATCAAACCAATGTAAGAGTTGTCTTTACACAACACTAAAGAGGTGAAAGGAAACAAGCTGATTCTCCTTGAAACAACTCATGCTCCTTACAAGCAATGTGCCAAGGAGAATACGAGAACAGGAAGACGTAGGGGTTATTTCTCATCTTTTTTGTGCCTTTTCATCAATAGAGTTGCAGTTTTTGTACGCGTGTAGCAATTTCACTCGCTAGCAATGTACGGTGAATGAATTGGCTATATTATCCCTGAAGATAAATTCTCTTGCTTCATATGTTTGTTTCACTCAAAAGCTCTTTTACCCTGTCATTATTTTACTTTTAAAGATTCTCATTAGGATTCAATTCATTCCTTCATTCTTGCACATCAATCGAGAGTCCAAAAGGAGCCATTTTAAAGGAGTTGATGCAAATATCATACCGATAATGGCTCTAGAATGTATTCAGCAAATTTACTTTACAAATCTAATGGAAGCTTTCGCCCATGCTTTAAGGGATATTTACATTTATAAGGGTATGAAACCACCCCACAAAACAGATGCGTCTGTTGCGTTTGCTTTGAATCATGGGGGGTGTTCAAAGCCTGAATAATTTGAGCCTTCCTTGAAGGTCAAAACTGCAGATCGTGGAGGACAAATGAGGAATTTAACAAGTAAAATTCCTTAAAACATTGTTTATAGCACTTACACCAAAGTGTGAACGAGAAGTCTAACCTGAATTCTTGGGACCTGGATACTATTCAGCTCTGTAAACAACAGTGACTGACCCATACAGACTGTCGAAAAGCTTTATAATGATAATGAGTAGAGAAACCTAACAACATCAGAAAGGTCTTAATCTGTGCATCTGACGACTAGTTTATTTTATAGACTAACCATAGCGAATGAAAATGACTAGATTCTGAACAGTAATTAGCATTAAACAATCTTCCTGTAATCGAACGAATTCTAGGTACAGTAGTAAATCATGAGCTGACTGGCAAATCCAGCCAAGCCTACAGAATGGTCTGTCATAATATCCGTTTGTACCCAATAGTTTACATAAATTTATGAGAATTCCTAGAGGAATAGTAGATGCAACATTAGTAGTCGTAAGGAGTGCTAAGGCCTGAGCTGATATTACATGGGTTCCGTTTGATCTTCACAATCATCAATCCATACACAAGTTACAAACAGCAAGCATAAGCTGGAAATGACGTTGAGAGGAGTTTTTAACAGGGAAAGAACGATTTTTCCTTTTTGCCAAGATACCACAAAAGGTTAATGTCTAACGAGGTAGAGGTATTCACACAGTTCGTTGAAAATTTCTCCAGCAGTTGTGTTTTCGGCTACACCGCAAACGCCTCTCCGTTTTCCTTGACAATCTGGAGATGCTCCACCATTAATTCTCTATTGGATAGTTAATGGAAACTAATCACTACACTTTAATGATTGCGGAGCAAATTTAAGCACAATGTAATAAAACCATGAATGATACTTTCTTAGATAGAATTGACAACATCATAAACGTATTTAAACAAAGCTAGATGGCATAATGTCAGATGGTATGGGTAACAAAAAGGAGGCATGGTCGAGATATGCACAAAATTGTGAATAATTAGAAGACAATGTCAATGCAAACAAATCACTTTAATGTATGATTTAATCAAGTTCAATATCTTCTACTTTACCGTAAGCAGAAACGAAAATTTTGCAGTTTGTTCTCTTAATGTTGACGCTAGTGAAAAATGAGCAGTCAAATTTTGTTCTTTACGATCTTTGAAACATTTCTACAACTATGTAACGTATTAATTTTGAGTAATACAAGGAATTAAATATTTTGAAATTAAACAGTGTTTAATTACATGAAAATGGCTAATTTTAAGAACCTCAAAATTTTCCCATCAACTCTAACTGAAACTAGGTCAATCAATGATTCACTGGACTATTTTAATTGCCATATTTAATTCCGCCTCAGCAGTATTTCAATTTGCGTGCAATAGTTTAATTGTTTGTTTAACTCCTCGTTTTGGTTTAGCGGGCACTTAAGGTCTCATGAGTGTACTTTTACTAGACGGCATGGCCTCTAATCCATGCCATTACCATCGCCGGCCTTTCTGTATATCATCAATGCATATTCTCCCACAGTACTAGGACTTTCTTATTTTTCAGGCAAAACTCGGACGTTAGAATGAGCATAGACCCTCTGCCCCTAATAATGCACAGCAGATTCCTCAAAGCATTTCTTCATTGCTTTTATTTGATCAAAAGTGTGGTGTCATTCTTTAGTTAGTTCATTCTTATATTTCGCCCTGATCCACCTTGACGTATGTTCCACTCTTTCCCATGACATTTGCGTTGTAGTCCTTGTAGTCATGTAGGAAGTCACGCGCCGAGACCGGCCTCTTCGACTCGTCCACCTTAATTGTTCCTGTAGGGTCGCCCTTTCCGTAAAATTCAAGAAAGCGCTTCTTATTCGCCTCTAAAGCGTAACAGTATTGTTATTTGCATTATCAAACCTATTTGATATTCTTGATGTTTATATTCCAATATTCTAACTATGATGAAAAATGAGTGGTCACTTGGTGCGCCATTATTAATTTGTGGTTCTATGATAATCTTGAGAGTACTTTTTTAAATGGCTTAACTCTGACAGTGTATAGACCTAGTTCAACTTGAGAGTGGGCGAAATCTACTATGCCAGGAAAACCTCCTAAACAGAGTAATCACTTCATGCTAGACAGGTAAACTAAGTGCGAAGTGTAGGATATCATTAACTGTCTAAAGCAATAAAACTTCCGCTGTAAGATAAGTTTTGACTTACGAATGAGATCCTCGAGGGGTTCGCCTTCACCCCCTACTTCTGGCGGCAGGACAGCTCTCAGGTCCGGCTCAGCTTCAAAGGCTTTCTCAATATCCGAACCGCACCACAACATCTATCGGTTTTATTAACGCAAAATACATACTTGTGGGTTTTAAAAACTTCCCACTAGGTTTAGAAAACAGTACTAAGAAAGGTCAAGTAGCTCACTCGATTTTTCATCTTCTCCTTCATGTAGAACATCATGACACTCAACATGGTGTCTAGAAGTTTGCCCTCATTGTAGAAAATTATGCGACGTGGTCTCAATGGCACCGCCTCCTGTGATCAAGAAAGAGATCTTGGTTTTATTTTATTTTGTTGCATGCTCGGTGAAACTCAACTATGTTAAAGATAAATCAAGCCGTTGGGGAAAATCGTGTTCCCTCTGCTGGATCCAACGGGACTCGTCAAATGTTTTTTCAAATAGAAGGTGGCATGCCCAAAATAAGTAACTTCGCCTGAGTCAGGATTAATCACCACATCATCAAACCGTATATAATCACTCATTGATGCAGAAACATTAGGATACTGGTAGCTAGGAAATAGGTTTAAACGTTGTGGTTTTGGCTAGATTTGATTCTTAGCTGATCTCTAGCGACACAGGATTGGACAATTACAAACCCAGTGCCACCAAGATGCATGATGTCGATTAAAATTTAAAGATTATCAAAAAGGCAGTTTTATCTTCTTCTTACCTGCGTAAATCTGGCCCACAATTTCATGACGTTCGGATCTTTGATAACCTGTTTTGAAGTGCCACCCGTGAAGTCCAAAAGGACTACAGTTCCACCTATTATAGTTCGTGGATCTGAGGCGATCATGAAAATGGTTTTGTAGGCGTAGTAGAAATTTTGCCCTATTGAAAATGCATCGGGATTCCATACACCTAGACTTTGAGAATGAACCCAATGTAGTTACCTGGACGTATCCATACGCACATTTTCCCGTCTTCCATGTAATTCAGAGGAAGATGCATGCTGAATTTAAGGAAATATGCTGAATGGTTAATTTAGAAGCAGCTTAATATGTGGTGGTAGGATTAAAACTGTCGATGCAACGTATATAGTGACTTAACTATACGTCTGCCACTTCCAAATGGAGCTAATATAGAGTGAATGAATGTTGAAGTTCAACTATTCCTCACTAATTACTGACTGTAGGTAATGCTTATATTTTTTGGTACAATGCATGAACAAGTGACAGGTGAGTTGCAGCGTTCTAATCAAATTACCCTGTATTGAGATAGCTGTCAAGTGTCTTCGACTTCAAGTCAAGTGGAGTTCCCCAGACGATGTCGCCGATGGACTTCATGGTGGAGAGAGTGCAAAAGTTATCCAACCTGGCCTGCGCTTTCGCGTGAACGTACTTGCTTTGTCGCAGAAACATGAGAAGAAAGTCGTCATCTGCGAAACAAAGAACTCTAGCAAGAGTGATTGCTGATTGATTTGAAAAGGGTGCTGTCACATCCAGGCATACGCCGTGCCAGTACACCGACAATACTATTGCACACTCAAGTGGATGGATAGCACGTTTGATCAGCCATGCTTACGGCACCTTTTAATTTGATTATTGATGAGTGAGAAGTAATGTATCAAAAGTGGATATAATGTACAACAGTGAAGTGGCAAGATGCTACCTGGAAAGTGTTGGTAAGCTTAAAACTTTAGGGAAATATATTAGCAATAGTTAAAAAGTCAGCCTATAACCAGTCACCAATTAAAATGCTGGATCTTATGAAGCAGACCTTTACAGCTGACTGGTTGGACGCTGGATTAGTTGGTCGATCAATAAAGGCAGATCATCAAAAGGAGGGACAATGTTCCCTTTATCAGTCATTGCATAATCCAACTTCCATGTTTCGTCAAAAAGGAGAAAGCTAAGAGCTTTCCTTACTACCTTAAAGAAAATTCTAATTCCGTGTTTTTTTTGTTATCACAGGTATTAAAAGCAGTATCCTGCTGTCAAGGATGTGGAATGAAGTAAGCGTACTGTCAAAGTGAAATGAAATGCGTCATGCTCTACTCTCTCATCATCTCTCTTCTCCGAGATTTCCTAGATCTCAGTGAATAAAACACTTTCTCATGGATAGAGAACTATGCGTATGAGTACCTACTCCAGTTGACTGGGATCGACTGGTTGGATCAGACCTAGCAATGATCCTTATTCACAAACACATGTTTAAGGGGGAAGGTGTAGATAGGATTAATAAATTACATTTATTTGATTCTCAAATTTTAGCATGAGTTATGCCTCCCGAAATAAGTGTTATCATTCATAGGTTTCATGCTGGAAGACCTACCGTCTGGGCAAGTGAGATGTGGCATTGAGGACAGCCAGCGTCGAAGGGCTTCAACATGTGCCGGTATGTTTTTGGGATCCTCACCGAGCTGCGCCTTTGCCAACTTCACATACTTGGAGGGTAGTTTCTGAGCAGCTGCCATTCTCCAACTAACTCCTTGCAGTAGGGACGCTCTAAAGCAGTCCTGTTATTGACGCTGTTGAAAGGTGATTGGCTTTCACCAATTGCTTACAGCAAAGCAGTACACCAAGGTTATCAGCTGTCTCCTTAACCGTGAGAGATGACAGGAAATTGTGATCTCGACTTTTAAGATTAGCAGCACAAAATATATCATGCAAACAATGTAGAAAAACTTTGTTTAAAGTTTGAAGTTAATGGGGAAAGAACGACCTAGAAGAATGTATTTTGCATTAGGACAAATGAATTTATAGTCCATGAAGGTCTGTGTAAAATTGATTTCATTCCGACACATTTATGAGTGGGGAATTGTGCAGACGAGAAGACGATTTTACGCATAGGACTGTATGGGTGTAGGAATTTAGTGTGGAAAATTTTATCTCAAATCCATGAATGTGTGTTTGGATGCAGCTTGCATTAGTAAAAGGGATTTTATGCACATGCGTGTATGTGTGTGTGGACGTGCCCCGTGGATGTATTTAACATTGGCGAATTCGATTCAATGCAAGTGAATTAACGTGTGGAAGGTATTTTGAATAAGTGAAATGGATTTTATGCATAATCATGTAAGGTAGGATGTATTTTGCACTAATAAATTTGACTTTATCAAATGAATGAACGTGTGGATGATTGACGCGTAGGTAAATTCGCTCTTACACCAAAACATTCGTATGGATGTATTTTGTATTGGTAAAATTGAATTTTTACTTATTAGTATACGAATGGATGACTTAAAATTAAAAAGCTAATTATTTTTTCATAGGGATGCATGGGTTAATATATTTTGAGCAAGTGAATTAGATTTTATACAAAAGCAAGTATGAGAGGTTGCGACTTTTATTTGAAATTCTTCACCAATTCATGCAAGTCTTATTGAAATTGATTTCCCACCGACGTGTTGATGTGTTTTGTTTAACTTATCTTTTATTTTCTACTGTTATGTGTAACTTTAGATCCAATTTGCTGAACTGAAATCGTTTTGTAAATGATGCGCATGTGTTTGAAAGCAATGAATTTACAAATAATGCGTATAGGTGAATGTGCTTTTTAATCGAATTTGATTTTTACAAACATGCATATGCTTGGATACTTTGGTCCAAAGTTAACTGAATTTTCCTTTATGCGTAAATGTGTAAATGCATTTTCTTTATTTTAAACGGGTTCTCACCAACACTTTTATGTGTTGACGCATTACTTTTAATTTAAATTGAAACGAGACAAGTGCAAATATACGTGGATGTGATTTGTTTAAATGAAGTTGATTTCCCACAAATGCGCATGAGCGTTGGTATATTATTGATTTAAAACCAAATTTTGCTAATTTCTAGGTGTAAATGTGTTAAATTAATTAAAATTCATTTTTCACAAATGGGTACATACCTGGATATGTAATGTTTCATTAAAATTGGGGTTATACTAGTGAGCATATGCGTGGATGTGTTCTGATGTCTATGAAATGATTTTCTGCCGATGGGCACAAGTGTAGAAATTTTTTATGTACTTCAAAAGTCGTCTTCACACCAATGCGCATGTTTAGATTTGCTTCGTTTATTCGAAACTTATTTCCCCATATTCCAAAATGTTTAGTTGTGTTACGTTTGAATAAAATTGGTTTTCCACAGATACGAAAGCACGTGGACGCACTTCGATAAATTGAGTTGGTGCTTACACAATTTGGCGCATCTTTGAATATGTTTTCAATTCAAACTGATTGCCAGCAAATGTTCACATAATGAAAATCTATTTTGCTTAAATGAAGGTGAATCTTACTAATACCCTTGTGAGTAGATGTGATATACTTAAAGTAACTTGATTTCTTGTCGGTGTGTGAAGGTTTGTGCATGTGTTTTGTTTAATTGAGATCAATTCCCCTAAATGCCAATGTGTGTGGTTATTTTGGTTTTACTAAAGTTGTTTTAACACAAAGGTCTACTCTTGTGGATGTGTTTGGTTTAATTCACACTGGTTTTTAACTAATACGGGCATGCGTGACTTTCGTTCTACAAGCTTAAATTATTATAAATGTATGCATTTGTCACCGCATGGGTATCCTTTTGTTCGGCGGAATAGACTCCTTACAAATGTGCATAAGTGTGCATTTGATCGGCCCAATTAAAGTCCGTTTCTCTTTAATATGTACAAGTGTAACCATGTTTTGACTTAAATTGATTTTACGCAAAAGAGTGGATGTGTAGTTTTGTATTGTTTTATTTTTATGGTTTCTAGGCATATGCGTTTATGATATAATTTGCCATTTTATTTAATTTGACTTATACATATTGATTTATGTGGAAGTTTTTTGTTTATCTAAATGTAACCTTGCACAAATCCATGCTAGTGAGGACAAGTTTGTTAGATAAATCAATTTTCTAAAATTTCTTAAATGCATGCAAGTTTTGTTGTTTAATTTTAGTTGGCTTTTGTACAAATGTGTTATTATCTGGGTGTGTTTATTTTTAATTTCCAATTAAATTTGAACAAATGAGTTTATGCACGAATGTTTTGTTGACTGAAATCAATTATGATCACTGCTTTTGTTTGTTAATGTGTTTTGCTTCATCAAATTAAGTTTTACTCATTTTTAGTAAATGTTTGGATGCGTTTCGGCTTAATTGCTTGTATTTTACTCGACTGCGTAGATATTTGGGTGTGTTTTCCTTTTTTAATAGGTTTCATTCAAATGCGTTTGTTTGTCTGATTGTCTATTTGTCCGCCTGCCACTCCACATGCAGATGTTTC